GAGGTTCCATGAGGTTCCATGAGGTTCCATGAGGTTCCATGAGGTTCCATGAGGTTCCATGAGGTTCCATGAGGTTCCATGAGGTTCCATGAGGTGTGACTGGGTAGATTGTTATTGGCTGCAAGCCATGTCAGGATGACATGAGTATACTGCTCCTGCCAAGTATTGCCAATCCGGCCCACTGCTTGGGTTGCTTGAGTTGCTCCACTGAGAGTGATGATCATACTGAGTATCGCTGACATGGCCCACTGCTCGGGTTGATCAATACTACAGTTCCTTAGCTCCTCTTGTATCGTTGCCTAGTCCTGTTTGTTCAGTGTTGTTGCAGGTTGCCATTTGATTGTAACAAGTGTGTCCTTCAACAGGATGGTGCTCCTGCACACAGATCTCAAATCTCAAATGATTTCCTTATCACAGAGGGCATAGATTGACTGTGGTGGCTGGGTCACTCTCCTGAGGTCAATGCATCTGAGCATGCCTGGTGTCACGGTATCCTCTCCAGATCCCCTGACAATATCCGGATCCGCTCCGTACTGTCCCTGACCGTACGCACCAAATCCCCAGCGTCCTTACACGCCTCCGGAGCGGGCCTGCAACCTCCGAAGCGGGAGTATCAGAATTCTGCAAGCCCTGCTCTGGGACTTGCAACCCCAATACCTATCCAACTCAGTTCTGATTATTAACTGGTAACCAAATGAACCCACACGTAAGTATATAGACTATTGCTGGTAGAGTTTCTGTTCGGTACACAACGTCTTGTACCTACTTAGATACCGTATGTAGTAATTGATTTAGACTCCTAGCAAGTCCTAAAGGGCCTACTCATAGCATCTTTGTGACACCTGGCCTTGTATAAAGTGCCACATCACAAAGGATTTTACACCTTCTTGCAATGCTAAGGAGTGTGAGATGCAATGGAGAGATGAGTGGGAGGCCATGCCGATAGAAGTGATCAATTGTTGGGTAGAATCAATTCCAGAGCAGGTGAGGAGGATCATTTGAGCAGGTGGAAAGCACAACTATCACAGATAGTGCGCAACCCCACCACATTATTAGAACACTAAAAAAACTTCAGGATAGGGCAATCGTATATAGTTCTATAGCTTCATGTACTTAGAATTAATTTGCATGCGTTGTTGTGGCTGTTGCAATAGTATTTACTATGGGCATTGACACCTTTGATTATGTTGGGGTGTCTTGTGCATGGTCTGATTGCTCAAAAAAGAAAGGGCTCCTTTGTAGAGGTGGGAAGAAGAGGGTTGATATATCTGGATGGGTGGCAAGCTGACAATTGCAAACTCACAAATAGAAGCTGACAGATGGGAGCTAACAAATGGGAGCTGACAAATGGGTCCTGACAAATGGGTCCTGATAAATGGGTCCTGAGAAATGGCTGCTGACAAATGGCTGGGTGCTGATACAAGTATAAGGACTGGTAGGGTTGTTGTTGGCTGCAAGTCATGTCAGGATGACATAAAGCTATGGTAGAGTTGATGCAATAATGGGGGTGTGGGGTAGCTACTTGCCAGAAACAGAATAGTGGGTGAGTTGAGGGAAGGGGAGATCGCCAGGCTTGGAGGGTTGCAGTATTGTAGCAGGCGCTCAGGCCATGGTCTTGGCATTGGTCACGTGCAGTTGAGGGCACGTGTGGTGTATGAGTGCCCGGGGCCTATGTGCTTGCGACCCCTACACCTTTGGTTGGGGTGACCTCCCTCAATGGAGGAGGGCTTTGTCACGACTTGTCACGGGTATATACTGTTCGGTTCCCAGAACCCATATCTATTGGGTTACTGTACCTTTTTGGTTGGTGTAGCTCAGGTGGGACCGAGCCGAGCCCTCACACCAATCCATCAATCAAATCAACTTTTTGGAGTGCTCAAATCCTTCAAATCCACTTTGTACAAGCCAATCGCCAAATTCAGTCAAGTCCAACGGCATATTTGACTTGATTTGATTGTTAGCAGACGTGCCTTAGAGCCCACTAGGAGTGAGGCTGCGCTGAGCATTGGGAGGAGAGGTGGAGCTGCCCGCAAATTAACAGGTGATAGGACCTGTAGTAAACTGAGCTGAGAACATAGAGTCCACTTAGTCGTTGTTGCGATCAGGTTCATAACGACAAGCAAGAGATGACGAAGTATGACGGTTTATGGAGTATGGCGTGTGTTAGTGCGGTGCTCTTGCTCGTTTTAACAAGCACCTTCTCCCTTAGCTGCACAGCAGATACGTCATGTAAACAGACCCTGCTGATGGCCTGGCGAGGGGCACTCACAAAACAACAGAAGTATACAATATACTGATCTTACTGCTTCGCGTGGTTCCACCCTGACTTACTGCCCTACGCGGTTACACCTCCATTTACAGCATCTATTGCAGCACGAAGCGACGGGTGGTAGTGTTGGTTAGATTGAGCTGTACAGCATACTTCATATCTATGTAGGACCATCCTTGGTCGGCTCAAGGAGTTCGCAAATGTGGATCAATGACCGCAGCGCAGGCGTAGGAGGTCGTAGACGACAAGGTGGGGTTGACGGGTGCATGCATGCACTAGTCCCCAAGGGTAAATGATAGTGAATTGAAAGCTTGCACAACGGCCGAATTTACAGCCTACCAAAATAGCATGAGCACGTATGTAGAGATCCGTGGTTGACGGGTGCATCGTCGTGGTCTTATGCAGCCCATTGAAGCAGCCGACACAGGTACGCTAAGGCCGGAGCTCTGATTGGCGGTCGCGACCAGCTGTCATTTGCGACACTTGGTACTCGAGCACGACTCGACCAAATACACAACATCTACATTTTTCCTCGTGCTGTGATGCCGCCATGAACTCGACCACAGAGACCGAGATACTCAACAAGTACAACCTCACGACGCTCTACCCTGCAGCATGGCCAGAAGAGAAGGACGCGGCCGACGAGGGGCAGCTCTCGGAAGATGAGGCATCCACAGCAACAGCGCAACCCGTGCGCCGGTCGCGGTCGCGATACTCTGTGCTGGAAGACAGGTCGAGGTTCTCGCGGCAGGTCCCGGGCGCCGAACGATCAAAGGATGGCGTGGAGACGTTGGTGCAGAAGGACGAGCAGGATCCGCTGGGCATGTACCCGAGTGTCGTCCAGGTGTTGCGGGCGCGCAATCTGTCGGTCGAGGACGACATCAAACTGCGTATGCACTTATTGGGATCTCCATATGGACGGCATTGACTTACACCGTGTACAGGCAACCGCTTCCTCCTCAGCTCGACTACCTTCTCGCCCTCCCTCTTTCTCTCGCAAGTCCACAGCGATGCATCCACCGACACGCTCCTCCAGGGCCTCGACTTTCTCTCGCGGTCCATCGAACAGAAGTCGGCCTCTCTCAAGGTCCTCGTCGAAACCAACTTCGAGCGCTTCGTAGGCGCAAAGGCAACCATCGACCGCGTCTACAATGAAATGCGTGAGCAGGGCAAGGACTCGGAGCCACCGAGGCCAACACACACGAGGGGCGCCAGCCGCACCAGCTTCTCCGGCAGAAAGCCGAGCGTGTCCCTGCAGCCGGTGCCAAGCGAGAAGAAGAAGAATGCGCTGGTCAAAGAAAGCGAGTATGGCGTACACGGCATTAAGGTGCCCCTTACAGAAGTCGCAGTCAAGGCAGAGGAAGTCTGGGGCCCTGCACTGGGAGGTCGCGATAAGGAAGAGACGCTAAAGGCCATACTCGAATCTGTAGAGAGCAATCGCGGGCTGTTCGAGGTGGGGTCGACAGTAGAGGATGCCATCCGCCGGAAGGACCATGAGACAATCATCGAGGAGTACAAGCGGGCGAGAAAGTACACTGAGGACGCACGATACATTGTGGAGCAAGCGAATTACTCCAAGATGCCTCTCACCGACAGCCAAATACACCAAATTATCGTTACAGCAAGGATGTGGGCAGACGTTGAGCGCCAGATCGAGCAATTCAAGAGAGATGCGTGGAAGAGGCTGGCATCGGCACACTTCGCGAAGCACCAGACCGGAACTGACGATATCAAGTCTGACGAGTACATAAGTCTCATCTCCATCATGCTCGAGCTCGGCGTAGAGGATAACCCTATCTGGATCTGGCTACTGTCCCGCTATGAGTATCTCAAGTCTCGCCTCAACATCTTGTGCGAACGCTCCCGGGTCGAAATTGAGATTCTACGGCGCCACCTTGCGAATGGCAAGAAGCCAACGTTACGATCAGTGCAGAAGCACCTACGTGCGGTACCAATCAGCACTAACGCCACTGCAGAGCCTTCCAAACTGGATGCACCGAAGGTGATCGAGTTCTGGGAGCATGTGCATGCCTCTATGACGACACTGCTTTCAACCAAGGGCGGTCTGCTTGGTGAACTGATCGAGTACTGGGACATTGCCCAGTCGTTCATGAGTGGGCGAGCTCAGCGAAATATGCCTACTGGCTACCAGAACCAGTCCTCAGTGCACCACAAGCTTACTGACCAGAACAAGATCGATCTTGAGAAAGGCACCACAGAGCTGATCAACATCGTCCGCGAGCATCTGTACTCCTTCTTCTCGGATCCGCCGATCGAGGATGTATCAGCGCTCTTCTCACCAATGCCCACCACACCGACACCGACCACTCCGAGAACACCACTCACAGCTGCCCTGAGTCCTACGGCAGGCTCGAGGTTCAAGTTCGACCCCAACAATGTACCGCCGCCATCACCCAGTCGTGGTGAGACGTGGGAGAAGTACGCGTTCTGGCCACCACACTCCAACGCTCTTTCAGGCTCTCACTACCTGTCGAAGTCTCTCATTCTCATCGGCACGGCTGCTAACGAGCTCGCTTCATTCCGTCTTCCTGAGACCGGCTCCAGCTCACGTCTGGACGAAGCACTGCGTCTACTTGTTGGCGGCGTTCGCGAGCGCTGTATATCCGCCGTATGCGCAGCGTGGAACGCCGATGCAGAGAAGCTCAAGGTGCTCGAAGACTGGACGCGCAATGCCGACCGCAAAGACACCACAAACCTACCTCAACGCTTCCTGGCAGTACAGTCCTTCCTACTCAATCACCTGCAGAAGATCATGTACGTCGAAGCCTCGAGCAAAACATCCGTCGACGTCGTCGTCCCACCCAGCAACAAGCTGCTGCAAATGCTTAGAAGTCAGTTCGTGACTAGCTTGTACCGCACGTTGAGCGGCATGGTCGAGTGCGCAGAGATGGGTCGTAAAGCGTTGGGCGAGGACTTCCAAACCAAAGGCGACGATCTGACCCTGGACGGTGAAGAAGACGTGGACGGCAAATGGGGCAAAGTTGATGCCAACAACAAGGTAAGCCCTCACTCCCTAAACATTTCTTCCTTCCCTCTATATTAACATATGATAGTCAACGCGCCTCCTCCTAACCCTCTCCAACATGTCACACTTCCAATCCGAAATCACCCCGCACCTTTTGTCTCTTTTCGAAACCCTCTTCTCCGTCCAGCTCACCGACGAAACCAACCGCATCCGGGACGTTCTCTCGCAGCTTGACACACAACTCTTCAAATCCTACACCAAACCTCACGCCCTTCAGATCGGCGCGTGGATCGAGTCCGGTATATTCGCAACGTCCTGGGCCGCCGCTGCGCGGGAGAAAGGGAGGAGCGTGGCCGACTTGGATCCCTCGCCATACGTGTCGACAGTGTTGCTGCACCTGGTTACAATCCACAGCCTCACGTCAACGACCTCACCAAACAGCCCCTTGACGCCTAGGATCCTAAAAGCCCTCTTCGAAGCGACAACCACCAGCCTCATCTCCACCTTCAGCTCGCCACGCCTCCCCACCATCTCCCTCCCACAGTTGATGCAAGCCACGCTCGACGTCGAATTCATCAGCCAGACGCTGGCGAGCTACACGACCGACGCTGCGAGCCAGACACAAACGGACATCTACCAGATACTTGATCAGAAAACGGATAACGGGGCGCGCGTAGCGTTGCAGGATGAGTTGGGCGGTTTGAGGGTTGGATTGAAGAGGTTGAGGGAGGGGACGAGGGGGCAGTTTAGCTGTTTCAGGAGGGTGAAGAGGGGGACTGTTGCAAGTCCTAACCCGCAGGGTGATGAGGAGAGGGGAAGACGCTGAAATGGGCGGATATGCAGTTGAGAGACCATGTATTGAATTTTTCATTGTACATATCTCGTGCCATCGTGAGAGCTCCTTTGTATACGTCACTGGGTATCAACAAACAGGTACGTGTAAGTATTAGTGCGCCGCGGAGGCGCTTCTCCTCGCGGGCGAAAGAAGGCTAGACGCGAGTGCGATCTTATATGTAGGAACGCGGCGCTGACTAGAATTTGCGTTACCGTTTGTCTTTGCAGGTGCAGACGAGGGTGTCTCGTCAGCATTTGTTTGAGGTTCCTTGGGTGTTTTGGGGTTGCTTGAGCCCGCCTTTGCAGGTGCCGACTCTGGCGTAAGCGCAGCAATGTTCTCCTTCAGTGCTCGCGATACCGTATCGCTGGTTAATTCTTTGGAAGATTGATCTTGCTTCTCTCTCGGTTTGGGGACTTCCATGATCGAGTCTGATCTGCGTTGCGGTGGCGTAGGCGTATCAGGCACGGTTGGGGACGTGGGCTTCGATGCTGTGGGCGTGGTGTCATCCCCATGCGTCCAAGCGTCATGCCTCATGACTCTAGGCGATGGTGAGCCAGTGGTCTCGGAAGCATTGGCGATCAGGTCATCTGACGAGCGCTTTGTCTGCGAGAAGTCATTCGGAGACATCATGGTGCCGAGACTGGATATGCCCAAGCCCTCGATCTTCGCTGCGACAGCCGCCTCTTGCCTTTCGATGTTGTCTGGCTCGGTGGCGGTTGCTGTTGGGATGTCGAAGTCATCGTGCGACTCTGTCGTCCTTCCGTTCTCTTGCGCGCCATTCGCCAGCAGGCCTTCTGCCTTCGATGCTGACACTGGGCCTTTCCATTCTGGGTGCGGCAACCTGCCTATAATATTCAACCCCCCTGTACCTGCTCTCGCCCACTCCCAAATTCCTCGCCGCGGTGGTGACTGCTGCGCGGACCGATTCATCACCGCACCACCCGCACCCTCCACCTCCACCTCCACCTCCTCATGCTGCTGCGGGTGAGGCCCGTCTTCTGAGCTTTGGCGGTGCTCTTCGAGGGCTGGGGGCGGCTTCGGCGCCTCCGCTTCTTCTGCGGCCTTCTTCTCTGGGGTGATGACCCTCTTTAGCTTTTCCCAGTCCTTCGTCGCGTCCGGGCTGGGAGGATGACTCGCGACGGCCGTCTCCGTTGAGGTTCCCGCCGTCGACGTCGCTGGACTTGTGAGGCGACGGAGTAGAGGGCCGGCGCCGGAGCTTCCGGGGCGAGATTGGTGGGGAGGAGGCGGGAGAAGCAGGTTGGGAGGCGGGTGGTGAGGGCGGCTCGGTGGGTAGGAGCTTGTGGAGGCTGTTGATCTGGCGGAGGACTGGTCGGGCTTCGGGGCTTTGGCCTTGCGTGCTGGTTAATGCGTGTTACTACCATGCTGTTGCGGAACGAGTGACCAGACGTGGAACGAATCGAGGCTATTCACCTTGCTTGCCCTTGGCCTTGCCCTTGACGTTGCAATTGGGGCCGTTTTCATGGTCGTGATACTCGCACTCGTTGCCCTTCTCGGTGGGATCTTCGAGCAGCATGCCCCCTGTGCCCTGTCTGATGGCGTTGACCAGCTCGATGGCGAAGTCGGCGTTGTTCTCGAAGCACTGGCGGTAGGTCTCGGTGTCGCGCTCGCTGTCGGGGTCCATGATCTGCCGCGCGGCGATCTTGACCATCAGGCGGCGGAAGGGCGAGCCATGGGGGCTCTTGCGGTAGATGTCGTCAATCTCCTCGGCGTCGGGGACCAGCTCGGCCTCGTTGAGCCCCTTGCGGAACTGGTCCATGGCGACGTTCTTCAGCTGGGGCAAGTCGAAGCGGTCGCATAGCAGGTAGAGCGCATGGCAGCTGACAGCATATTCGTACTTCTGGGTGGCATCAGGCAGGTCGGAGACGTTGTCGAGCTTGCCCTGGTAGAGCCACTTTACGAGTAGCTCGAAGCCGACGGGGTCGTGCTCGGGCAGCTCGAGCGCGTCCTTCCGGTCGTGGCTGCCGGTGCCCTTGAGCTCGGCCTCGAGCTGCTCCGAGTGGTGGCAGAGCAGGTTGCGGTGCAGCGTCCAGCGGCGGCGGGCCTCGCCCACGTAGATGTCGATCATGGGCCCGGATAGCAGCCTGTCGCGTTGCAGTTTAGCCTTTGCGCGCACATGCAGGCGGTGGGAGTGGAGACGATGCGCCAGCGCCGGTCGCACTGCGAGACACCGCAGTCGAGGAGGTTGAGACGCGTCCGCATCCGGCGCAACACCTTCAGCGTCATCCACCTCTTCCGACTGCGACTCCCCAGATGCGCCGCCATCGCCGTCGCCGTCGCTGTCGCTGTCGCTGTCGCTGTCGCGCCCGCCCTCGCTCCCCGCACGCTCAAGGAAAGGATCGTCTACATACTCAGCAAAGGTGGCAGCAGGCACAAGGCCAATGTTGCCGTTCGCCATTCGCAGCCTCTGGGTGCTATATGCAAAATCACGATAGTAGACGAGCCGGTCGTGCCATCCCATGCGGCGCGGCGATGGCGCTCATCGGCGGTTGTTGCGATTGATGCGAGTAAGTCAGGTGTTGAAGAGCCGAAACAATGCAAGGAACGGCACCTGGGCAGCTGTCAAGATGGGCCTGACATGCACAAGAACGCCCGGCAGGAACCATGGACGGCTGGGGAAGTGACGTACAAGGCGGGCAGCCAATGACAGGTCGGCCACACAACAATGCTTGCGACACGCTCAACACCATCTTCATGAGCGCAAGGCTGACGACAATAAGAATACATGGTAACGGCCTACTGGCGCGTCGAGTGTGCGATGCATCAGTCGTCCAAGTCCGTCGCCTGCGTTGAATGTCCTTGGCACCTTCCCCGTCCAGCAGGTTTGCTGCTCTGTTGATTAACTGAGATTTCACCACAACCAAACTTTCCAATTTTCGCACCCTTTTCCTCATTGTTGTCACTTCTCCCAGGTCCAGGCAATTCAGCCATATGATATATGTCGCTTCTTAGCAAGAAGACGACATGATAGACCATCTTTGACTGCTCACCTTTCCAACAACATAACAGGCAGCCCAAGGTCACCAAATTGCTATCAGTACTTGACATTTCGACGCCTGACGCCCCCGGCTAGACCTGCCGCCGTTGGCCGTTTGTTTGCCGCCTTCGCCTGGGCATACCCACTGTAAGGGTTTATGGAGTAAAGGTGTCATGTGTGTTGGTGCAGTGCTCTTGCCTGTTTCAACAAGCACCTCCTGCTCTTGACTGCACGATACATACGTCATGTAAACAGGACTGCCGGGTGAGAGGCAATCATACAACATTGAACAAGAACAACACAATATACCGATTTTTTACTGCTTCGCGCGGTTCCCCCCTGACTCACTGCCTTGCGCGGTTACACCTTCATTTATTGCAACTACTGCAACACCCACCCTTCATGCCGCCCTTGCGAGCTGTGCTATGTGGCCCATAACGAGTGCGCTGTAGACTCCCACAAAGGGGCGCAGGCCCATCATCAAAGGCAGTAGAGATGACGCTGTTGAGCGAGGCCTAAGCCAGGGCTTCGCGAACATGGACATCAACACTTACAGCCGGCATCACGTTAAGAGTACGGCTGTAACTTTGCCCACTACCGTACCGAACCAGCAGTCACAGATTTTGTCTCGCACACATTCGTCACAGCACTCAAGTCAGCGTGAACATCAGCGAAGTAGCTCACAGTGGCATTGCATATCAACTACGTCGCGTATGTATAGCATGAGCCTGCCGCGCTCCCAGCGCCAAAACTGCAACTGCTATGAGTGCGATTCAAAAGCTATTATGCCCTAAGAACACGCGCAGGCAGTAGGCCGGCTAGTTAGTTATGTAAGGTAAGAGAGAATAACATGTTATAATTGTACTACGCGTCTGCTGCCTACAACGTAGCAGATATAGCTGCGCAAGGGCTGTACGCCCCTAAAAGTAGAAGCAAAGGCCTACAGCACAAAAGGGAGAAACCACAAGGACACTAGGAGAGACTATCTTGCGTTTTCAAGATCAAGTCTAATTGGCAAAAGGACGTTTTTCTTTGCTTCTGATTTTTCTTCATGATGACTTACCTGTGTCAGGGGGCGGGGTTGCAGCCGGACAGAACAGTGTTCAAGACAGTAGTAGCAGGATAGATTTACAAGACGTAGCTCTAAAGAGCTACGTAGCGGGACAGCTACGGTTCCTTAAATACAGGCTCGCTTAACGGGGTTATAACGGATGTTGCCAGAGCTCACGTGTACACCCGAGGGTCAGCGTCCTCACTCCGTGACAACCTGGTTTTTGCTTTCTGTATCTCCTATCAATCTTTCCTACATACTACAAAAGTGCTTTCTCATATTAGTCTGCTTTATCTTATGCTATCTTGAATCCATCTCTATCCCTGTTCTTCTTTTCTTCACCATCTATATAACAAATCTGCTACGTTGGTATCCTATCCCTATCCCCTCACTCTCTGCTCATGCATCATGTCCTTGCCCCTTTTCCTGATCGCACCATTTCTCCTTCCAGTATCTCTCAATGAGAGCTTCCGGCGCTGTAGTTGCATTTGGTTCATCTCATTGTTGCCTTTCTTATCTTCCTTAAGAGGGGAAACGATGGAGCGCCATAGCAACAGTGACTGCGGGGGTCAGAGCGATGGTGAATGCTAGTGTTGAAGTCATGCCTGATGTCAGGTGGTTCGGGTGCGTCATGTTCAGAGCTTGCAAATATTCTGAGCTTATGATATGTTGTGGTGACAAGCGACCTGGAGTTAGCTCTCTTATACAACTCATTATGCACCATAGAAAAGACAAACACTGGACATTGTCAACTCTTCATTTGTCGTGTTCATACCCTAATAACCCTTTGAATATTTCTTCATCCCTTCACTCAAATTTACTACCTCGGCACAACCCACTAACAATCATTCCCTGCCACACTTCGTCACTACCTCATCTCCTCTTTCTTTGCTACTGGTAATTCTGCCGCCACCTCTCCGCTTTTCTAGCCGCCCCTTCCCTCGTCGCTTCTACGTCCTGTTCCGCACTCGATGCAGCCTTTTATACGAGAAACTCTTCTTCTGGCTTCATCGGTGGCGCCTCCAGCGGCCGGGAAACCGAAGAAGAAGGAAGCGCGAGGTCAGTAATAGAGCAGAAACGTCAAGTACGAGTAGTGTCAAGACTAGGTGGTTAGCGTGCTGTATTGCAGGTGAGCAGAAGCTCGATGTAAGCTACCTATCACGTGCCGGCGATTGGGGAATTCTTCACCCGCCTCCCGCGGACAAGTAGGGTGATAACAATGAGATAGACAATTGAATGGAACATCATGGTGTGCTTGATGGAAGGGTTCGCGTCAACAAGGCAGTCGAGCTATTGGTCGCAACACGATTTATGTAAAAGCTTATACTTGTGCTTACTGTACCGTGTCCGTGCGCGTAATGCGCGGATTCGCGTAATGCGCCAAACCACCTTTTTGTACCCATACTTCACTGTACAATTACTCAACGCCACAATGACTATGAAATCTGCCTTTGAAGAGATAGACTCTATGATACCATGCGATAAGATCC